ATATTTTATTTCATCTTTAATTTCCACTTTTGAGAGTTTTCTGATGCCTGTAATTAGGACCCTAAAGATAACAGAAAAAGCAACCACGGATACTTGTTGAATGCACCAGGTGCTGTTTGAATGCCTTTTACTTGTTTGTAGTCAGTTTAATCCTCACAGCAGCACAACAGCAAATACCACGACCAGCACTGTCCAAAGGTATGTGATTTGCAAGCTGAATTCATGAGTGTACGTACATTGACAGCACATGTTTCCATTACTTATTTACTCTTAGGAGTTCATGGTCAAAGTTACCGCCATCTCGTCTGTCAGCCTCCCCCTGTTTCTTTGGGTGCCCCCACTTCTGTGGGAACCCTCCTACTCCTGCAGTGACCCTGTGGTTGTGTGGGCACCCTCACTTCTTCAGGCAGCCCCCACTTCTACACACACTTCCTCACTTCTGTGGTCACATCCTCCTGTCAGTGAGTGTCCCCACCTCTGTGGGCTCCCAGACACAGCAGGTTCTGCTTATCTCAACGCTTACTCCGACCTAGGCGGCCAGGAGTACCAAGAGACGCAGACTTTGTCCTGGAAAATCGCTAGCAGTCTGATGGGCATTCATGGCCAGACAGCCCTGTGCCCTCACCGATGGTGGTGCCCTGCAGAGGGTCCTCACGATTCCCTACCGTTTCTGTGAGCCGTTTTTAAATGGGCTCATGGCTCTTTGATCTGGACTCCGTTGACCCCTTCCCTTCATCCCTTCATCCCAGCTTCTCAGTCGCAACGGAAAAAGATACCATCAGTTTTAAGATCCAAGAGGCAGAGGCCACCCGCCCTCCCGGGGAGGCCGGCCACCGAATGTGTGCAGCACTAAATCCAAGGTCACGGTGGCAGAGGGGCTGGCTGCCCCTGCACATCACGCCCCACCAGGGGCTTGGCAACAGCACGGCCTTAATGAAAGGCATTGGGTTTGTATCTGAGTCATGGTGCCCTGTTTCAGCCTGTGTTTGCCAAACCGCCAGTCAACTTAAACTGAAACATGTTTTTGGAAGAGGCTTTTAGGAGGGGGCAGGAATGCATAAGTTGCTGGAAATATCCAAATGGACCTGGGGTGCTGATGCAGGGACAAAATAGGAATAAGCACGGGTGTAGGTTGTGATTCTCTGCTGCAGAGGGACAGAGGGAGTGGACAGTGTTCGCTTGTCCTTCCTGACCCGATAGCTATGAGGGTTAGCTCATCCCAGTCAGGAAACTGGGAGGCAGGGCTCTCCAGGACCTTCCTGGTCTGCACATGGCATCTGTGGTGACCATCGATGTGGCCACAGTCTCTTTCCATAGAGAGAGCCGGGAGGACCAGGTCAAAGGCCATCCTAGCATTGAAGCATCCCGTGTGCCTGCCTCACTGTCTACTTAAAAACCTAGTGTGCAAAATATACCGAAACGGGTTTGGCTCAGTGCATAGAGCATTGGCCTGCGGACTGAAAGGTCCCAGGTTCGATTCCGGTCAAGGGCATGTGCCTTGGTTGCGGGCACATCCCCAGTGTGGGGGTGTGCAAGAGGCAGCTGATGGATAATTCTCTCTCATCGATATTTCTAACTGTCTATCCCTCTCTCTTCCTCTCTGTAAAAAAAAAAAAAAAAAAAAAAAAAAAAAAAAAAAAATCAATAAAATGTATTTAAAAAAATAAAAAAATAAAAATAAAAACCTAGTGTGCAAAATATACCATTTGGGCCCCCAAGGAGTTCCGGAGCTTGTAAAGTTGAAAATACACTGGGATCACGTGGTGGATGCATTTTCATAGCCATGCCTGGCACCACGTCAGCTATTGCCATCAGCCCCAGCTGAGGTGGCCTTCTGTAGACCAGCTTTGCAGGTGATTCTAACGGGCAGCCAGGGTTGGGGCCACAGTCACAGCAGGCTCACCTCATGGAGCCATGAGCAGTGTGTGGTCTCCGAGCCCCGCCCAGTTCACTGGGTCCTCACTTTCTCTGGGTCCTGGTGAGTCAGTCAGCACTTCCCTCCTGTGGTTACCCCAGTTTGAGCCCCACCACCAGCCCAGCTCCTGGGATCCTCTCCAGTCATGCCCCCCACAAGGGGAATTTCCAAAATGTGTTGGTCTTGAGGCAATGGTGTAAACCATTTTTTTTTTTTTAAGTGACCATTCATAAACGAGTACGGTAAGCTGCTGCTTCTGAAGACTTCAAGTCATCTTTAAAACTCACAGTCAAAATAGCATTCAAGCCATTGGGTGTGTGTGGGGAAGGGGATAATGTCAACAGGTGTCGCTTGAAGTCAGTTGGGGTACAAATGCCATTTCTATTAAAAAATATAAAACCTCTGCAATTTGTATTCAAAATGTTTGGTTCCAAAATTTCCACAAATTCCCGTGCTGACTGATAAAAATGCTAACATTCTGAGATAGCAGCGCTGGCCATCTCTTTGCTTCCCTCTGCGTCTCTTTTTCTGGAGATGACAGCCAGCAGGAACACAACATGTTTAAGAAATGGACTTTGCCTTTAAAGAGAATAAAACCATTTTTTTAAGGCCTTCAAAGTTGGTTTAGCTTCTTACTGGAACTAAGAAATTGCTGTAGCATCAAGAAACCATTAGGTCGAAGTAGTAAGTGGGGAGAAGGTACTGGCAAGCCACTTTGCAAAGTTGGTTTAAGGATAAGAAGAATGTATGAGACGTGTATTGAGTTCCCCAGAAGAAAGCCTCAAAACGCAGTGCCTGTCATTAAATTGTTTTAAGCTCTTCATAAAAATAACATATTATTTCTCAAATTACAGAGGGCTCTGACAGGGAAGGGGAAAAAAAGATTGTTCTTTCCAAAACAGTAATATTTTTCCACTATTTCGGAACCTAACAACGCTGAACGTATTGGGCGGTTTCTCTCACTTCAAAATTATTTAGGAGAAAGTGCTCATGAGACAGTTTGCATTTAGACACTATCAGACACAGGTTCTTCCTGCTGAGTCCTAGTCAACTGCAAGATCTCCTAGTTAGCTATTATTTTTAAAGCAGAAAAAACATTTTTTTATCAACTTAACAATGAATATCAGCAGCTGACTTTGCATAAAAGTTTCTGGCCTACAGAGCATTTCCATATACAATGCGTTACTGAGTTTCACAGCCACCCTGTGCAGCGGGGGTTATTCTGAGTCCCTCTTACGGAGGGGGAAACTGAGTCTAGAGAGAGGCTGAAACAGTGAAGGCGGTAGGAGCTTTCAATCCTCTGACCCCGGGCCATTTTACTGACAGTCCTCCACTTGCATAAAACTTACTGTGGACTGTGCTGGTTTCAGATCCTCCTTTTGTACTTATGTAACTTCATGACCTTAGAAAACTCGTTTTATCTTGCTACACCTCCATTTGTTTATTTTTTAAAATATATTTTTATTAATTTCTGAGAGGGAAGGAGGTGAGAGAAAGAGATGAAAACATCAAGGATGACAGAGACTCATGGATTGGCTGCCTCCTGCACACCCCACCCTGGGGATTGAGCCCAAAACCTGCGCATGCGCCCTGACCACAAATTGCCCTGTGACCTCCTGGTTCATAGGTCCATGCTCAGCCACTGAGCCACACCTGCTGGGCTACACCTCCCTTTGTTAAAACAGAGGTCATAAAAGCACCTACACGCCGTAGGATTATTGAAAGGATAAAGGAGGATAATGCACGATTGCATGAAACAGAGTTTCCCTGTTGCGATCCTGGCTCCTTTCTGTAATTCTATTTCTTGCGAAAGGAATAACAGGTGGGAAGGAGAACCGTCTGAAAACCGGCCACGTTGCTGACCAGTCTGTAACGAAGACATCAGATCTGGCTCCAACACTGAGGGGATGGAAACTATTCATATTCTTAGCAATAGTGTCCAGACCTTCCTGGCCTGTCTCCAGCCAGCCTGCTCCGGGCTGCAGGCCGCCGTGACCTCCCTGAAGTGACAGAGTCACACCGAGTGACACGAACGTTATCGAGATGGGCTCCTATGTTCAGCACCTTTGGATTGGCATAAGGGCTCAGCTGAAGAGTGGACAGATCTGCTCACGTGGCCCCTTAGGGTGTCCCTGAGATTGGGCCCGATGGAACCAGGACTTCATGGTTTTCATCAGGTCAGCTGGGCCGGCAGCCCTGCATCTGCCCAGATGACAGGTGAACGAGCCGGGCCTCCAGGGGGCCTGAATGTCACCGCGCTGGCCGAGCCTTCGCAATCATCTGACTCAGTGACATGGCACGGAGGAGCACAACAACCCCGGGGAGAAGAAAATAAAAACCAAACCTACCCACGCCCACGCTCCCTCCTACTCCCGAGCCTAAAACCCAAACAGTGCTCCCTCCGGGGCGGCACCGCCGACAAAAACACACAATCCTAAACCAATGAAGAAGCCCTGACTTGGAGGACGAGGTTAGACTCACTAGTACTTGCTTTTCTATCATCATCGTTGGTATTTCGAGACAGCTCATTAAAAACGAAGGGAAAGCAACTGACCCCGGCAGGTGGTTTCGGGTAAACACAGGCCTGACTCCTGCTCTCATATGAGGGTGGAGGTGAGAGGGAGTCGTGGGAAGGAAGCCCTGAGGTGCTCTGACCTCACCCAGGGTCGTGGTGGGGACCCAGAAAGCCTTGGGCTCACCTGCGGCAGCCGCAGTGGGACAGGGACGTGGACGGTGGGAGCAGGCAGAGGTGCAGAAGGTTTCTGAAACCAGCCAAGGTGCCTTGTGGCTAGCTGCAACCCGCTCCCTTTTACCCATGGGGGCCGGGAGTGGCTCACTGAGCATCCTGGCATCCCACCTGTCCCCTGTCCTCTGTCGGGGCCACTCTCAGGGACACCCTAACAACCCACAGACGACCTTGAAGTACGTCGGGAAGGGGGACGTTGAGGGGTCCATGTCTGCTTTCCTCCAAGTTCTCAGGGTCTTAACAAGTTACGTCTTTGGGGGGAACTCCTTGTAGACAACCCGAAAAGACAATTCCCCTTGAGAGAGAGGCTGGGTCAGCCTTCGGGGTCCCGGGACTTACCCGGACGACGTAGTTAAATCTCCTGGAGTCCAGGATGGCGGTGGAGAAGTCCAGCCTGTTGAAAGCTTCCCCCAACGTGCAATAACCGTGGCGCTGGACGTGAGAAGAGGGATGCGGAGGTTATTCCAGAACAATCCACCCAGACCGGACGGAATACACTTGGTGCCTATCCTAGGTAACCATGACCATTTTCTCCCTTCTTGTGCCATGACATGCCTTTCCTGGGACCCCCCGGAGCCACAGATATGGGGGTAGTGGAGCTGGCAGCTGCTCCGGTCAGTGACTCACAGGTGAACACCCCTCTTCGTGACTTGAACCATTTGGGCCCTTGTGCCCTGCACGGAGTAGCCGGGGAAATTCAAAAGTGGCCGCCCACCAGGGAGAGGCGAGGAGCTGGTGTGTGATGTGTGAGGTGGTGGCAGGTGCTTCATGGTAACACACTCCTGGGAGGGGCAGCAGACCTGCCTGCCAGCTCTGCCCACTACCTTGCCTCGCATCGTCGGTACTTCTCTCAGTACTTTCCTGACCATCAGAAGGGTTTTTTAAAAATATATATTTTATTGATTTTTTACAGAAAGGAAGGGAGAGAGATAGAGAGCTAGAAATGTTGATGAGAGAGAAACATTGGCCAGCTGCCTCTTGCACCCCCGCCACTGGGGACGTGCCTGCAACCAATGTACATGCCCCTGACCGGAATCGAACCTGGGACCCTTTAGTCCGAAGGCGGAAGCTCTACCACTGAGCCAAACGGGTTTTGGCCAGAAGGGCTTTTAAGGCTCCTTGAAGAAGCAAACAGTTTTGGCCCAGTAGGTGTGGCTCAGTGGTTGAGCACTGACCCATGAACCAGGAAGTCATGGTTCCATTCTCGGTCAGGGCGCATGCCAGGCTATGGGCTCAATCTCCAGTAGGGGGAGTGACAGGAAGCAGCCGATCAATGTCTCTCTTTCATCAGTTTTTAATCTCTCTATCCCTCTTCCTTCCCCTCTCTCTAAAATCAATGACAACGTATTATTATTATTATTATTATTATTATTATTTTAAAAAGAAGTTTTGATCTTTGACCTACGAACCCATAAGGAGTAGAGAGCCCTGACTCAGAGTCCCAGCTCAGGTCTAGGTATCTGGGTATCTGGGTATATCCCTGACCCTTTGGGGTCTCATATCACAGAGGGAACCAGATGTTCTCCAATGACAGAAAGCCTGTCATCCGCTCCTACTGCCTTGTATCCTAGTTGTCTGAGCACATGATGCCTGTGCAGAGAAAGTATGCCCAAAGCTTATGTAAAGTGTCATGCAAGTGTGTCAACTACAGTCTTGTTCCCTTCGACATCCAGCTCGGTGCCTCTCATGGATCAGGCAAAAATCAGTCTGCTCTATTCAGTGATTAGCCCTCCCAGGGCTAAAACTTAACTGAGTTGAAATCTAAAGAGATCTTAGAACAAAAAGGAGGCACTGTCTTGAGGCAGAAAGGCCTGAGCTTCATAATAATAAATTTGAGGTGGGCATCTTTATACATATTTTTATGTATGTTATCTTACTGAGTGATGGGGGTGGAGGGGGGGACTAGTGGCTTTTGCTTCTCTCTCTGGAGCCCTAGATTCTCATGGTTGGCTGCTCAGTGGGCTGCTCCTCGCCATCACCCACCCCTCAGAAGACAGCCATGATTTGAAATAACATTGCTGCTCCATTTCCCCCGACTCTGCCGGGAAAGGGAAAGGTGTAAAGCTAAGCGTCCTCTTTAATAACAGATGATGCTCACCTCTTTAGTACTTCCTTTGTGAACATAGATCCATTTTTCTTGGTGAAAATCTACAGAGACAATAAGAAAACATACTCAGTTTGAACGTGCCCAAGATTTTAAACTTGTTTCTTTTTCATTTATCCCAAAGTGTAAAAAGTTTCGACAAAAATAAATAAATAAATGAATAATAAATAAAATACAAAAACTCTACGGATAATCTAAGAGGCTGCAAATGCCCTATTTCTGTAGTGTATAGATACCAGAATTACAATTTACTTTGTCTGAAGCACTCCAAATCTTTGATACTTAAATTCAATGTCTCATAGCTCCAAATTAAAAAAAAAAAAAAAAAAAATTGCCAAGCCGGTTTGGCTCAGTGGATAGAGCGTCAGTCTGCAGACTGAAAGGTCCCAGGTTCGATTCCGGTCAAGGGCATGTACATTGGTTGTGGGCACATCCCCAGTAGGGGGTGTGCAAGAGGCAGCTGGTCGATGTTTCTCTCTCATCGACGTTTCTAGCTCTTTATCCCTCTCCCTTCCTCTCTGTAAAAAATCAATAAAATATATTTAAAAAAAAAATCTAACACCCAAGTACAAGTTCGTTTTATATGCCAAGCCTACAACTTGTGCAAGGTCATAAAAAGTAGACATAAAGCAGATAACACAAGGGAACCCTGCGGTGCAGGTGGATTAAACTAAAGACCTGTCATTCCTGCTTATTAACAGAACTTTCTGCTCTCCTTTGATATTCACATACAGCATCCAGAAGAGTTACTAATATTTACACAAGGAAAGAGGGAGAAACAAATCCATTTTCGGAGCATCAGAACAGTTCAAAACAACAGCCTGCGCTGGAATTGATTCAGCTGACTATATCGCTGTATCATAACTAAGTTAACTATGTCAAATATTAAGTGACAAGCAGAAAAAAAAACCACACAAAACACCTCAGCTAGCAACGGACTTTATAAACAAGGCTATAAAGAGCACATTAATCTCGCTCGTAAAAGGCACAGCCAGGTTTCTGAGTGCGAAGGTCCCTGCATCCTCCGTCGATGACACAGTAAACATCGAGGCGATGTCTCACACGAACTGTTAGATTCCCTTCGCCCTCCCCAAGCCAACCGTGACATCTCCAGACAGGGTTCTCAGGCCACAGCGGAGGGCTTACACTGAGTTTTGGTTTTGCAGTTCAGCATGTCCTTCTTTCTCTTCTTGGCCGCCACGTCATAGTTGAGGCTGTTGAAAAGATTCTCCTTGTTGTAGACTTCCTTGTTGCAGTAGCTAGGAAAAACAAGACAAGAAAGGAAGTGCTCTAACAGCTTTACTTTAACACGAGCTGTTTCCCTAAGTAGCTTACTGGTGATAAAACACGCCTCTCAAACACAACAACAAAAACCCCTCCTAAGAGGTCTACCCCGGCACAGACATCCCTCTTTCAGGATCAGATAGTGTCACAGCTCAGTGGAAGGCAGGGATGGGGGCTTCTGCTGCTTTTGAATTTCCAACAGTGCCTGCCATTGTACTGGACTCACAGCCCTGCACCCTCCACACAGGGAGCACAATATTACTTTAAGCAAAAAGGATGAATGGAGGGAGCAGGAGAGGGGCCACTCCCGGTATCCCTGTAATGCACAATGCCCTCATTTTGCAAAAGCACCCTCCCCAAGCTGCTTTTCAAAAAGACAGAATTCACCTGCCACACAATTCTCCTGTTGAACGGGCACCCAAGCTGCTTTAAACCAGCCAGGCCTCTGTAAGCCTTTAACACGTGATCACATTTACAAAAATCCTGCAGAAATGTCCTCTCTCGGAGTTACTTTCTCCCGAGGCCGAGGGTGTTTTGGGCCAGCTTTGTGTCACCCATGGGTGTGTGTTTGTCCACTTGCAGGAGGAGAGGGGCAGAACAAAGGGAGGGCAGAACTCTGAGTCCTGAGAGCTAACGCACGAATTCCAATCAAGGTTGAGGAGAAAGGAAAAATGGAAAGTCATCTGACTGATCCACGATACTAAGGCCGACTCCATTTCTAGGAGACCGAGCTAGCTGTTCAGTTTCATGTAATGGACTAACCCCCTGAGTCAGGTTGCGAGGTGAGGACCTTGGATCCTAAAGGAAACAAGCGGAGTTCACAGCTCACACATTCTAAGGGCTGAACAGACAGAACTGCCCAATCCCCAGGTCACTGGAGGAATCGCAGGGTCAGCCTGGGCCACGTGGATCGTTCCCTCCTAGGCTGAGCCACCATTCGGGAGGGCTGGCAGAGTGCTGACCTGCGAAACAATGTCCCTTCAAGGCCTATCTCTGCAGTGTTTCCACGGAAGGGAAGCAGGAGAAATACTGAGGTAGAATGGGAGGGTAGGTTTCCAGCTCTCCAACCCCCTGGGGTATGTAGGTATATGCAAGGTGGGTTTTAGAATGCCAAGGAGTAAAACATAAATTAGGTGTTAAAAAAAACGACACCACCACTTGCCGAAACCGGTTTGGCTCAGTGGATAGAGCGTTAGCCTGCGGACTGAAGGGTCCCAGGTTCGATTCCGGTCAAGGGCAAGTACTTTGGTTACGGGCACATACCCAGTAAGGGGTGTGCAAGAGGCAGCTGATCGATGATTTTCTCTCATCGACGTTTCTAACTCTCTATCCCTCTCCCTTCCTCTCTGTAAAAAATAAATAAAATTTAAAAACAACAACAACAACAACAAAAATGACACCACCAATGTATTAAGAGTTCTTTACAATTCCCTGAATTCTTCTGCTAAATTTAAAATGTGATTTGATTTATATCTTTTTTTTTTGACAAACACCGATTGAGTCAAATCAGCCACATCTGTATTTTCTCCAATCTGTGGACGTTGTGCAAATGGTAGAAAAGAGGATTTGAAGCAAGTCCCAGTACCCTGTTGCTACAATGATCTCTCAAACAGCACTTCAATGAGTACAATGAGTAACTTGCTAAAATGCTTGCACGTGACAATTCCAACAATATACTCAGTGTGTCTAGTCTCATCGGGATAAGCTTGATGGATAACCAATCGTTTGTTAATCTTCCCTTGCAAGGCCCTGCTAATACCATTTACTGAGCTTCCTAATATCTTTAGCCTTCTTCTTCTCGTTCTGAGAGTCTGGGTATTTTTAGGTTTCAGAGAGATTGCTGCAGAAATGTCCTCGCTCCGAGGTACTTTCTCCTGAAGCCGAGGGTGAGTGTTTTGGGCCAACTTTGTGTCGTACATGAGTGTGTGTTTGTCCACTTGCAGCAGGAGAGGGGCAGAACAAAGGGAGGGCAGAACTCTGAGTCCTTAGAGCTAACGCACGAATTCCAATCAAGGTTGAGGAGAAGGGGAAAATGGAAAGTCATCTGACTGATCCACGATGTACCAAGGCCGAGAACAGCTTTAGAAAGCAGGCAGGCCGTTCTGTGCTTCTTTTTAAAGGAAGCACACACCACACACACACACACACACACACACACACACACACGCACGCACCACAGAGAAAACCCTAGAGCTTAAATCCCACATGTAAACCAAAGCTGTGCTGTTCTGAATCACACATGGAAGGTACAGCAGAAACGTTTCAGAGCCCCGGCCGTAGACTGGGACCTTTCCTCGGAAGTTTTAAATATTTATATTTCACCTTATTCTCTTCTCGTTGAAAACATTCCTGAAAAAAAAAAAAAAAAATGCAAGCCCTTGCTTTCCTCAAAGAAATGACAATAACCTGCCCTAAGCCCGAGTGATTCATTCCCAAGGCTCATTTCAGAAGACTCTGACATAATTGATGATGCTCTCTCACTGTAGAATGTGGAGAAGCTTGAACCAAAGCGGACGCTGTGTACTTTTCTCTTGGGTATTAGGTTCTGGGACCCCCCTCGGGAAGGTCTAGAAAGTATGGTTATGGGGTTTATGTATGATGCCTGCTTATATGTTTTCTTTTAAGCAATAATATACTCAGAGACTATTTTGAGAGTTCAATTATGTCCATTTCAAGGATATGCAAAGCCAATGGGAAATTACAACAGAATTATTTACTTATTTACTTAACAAGAAGAGCCACCACCATTCTGGAACCCATTACATTTATTTATCTATCTATCTATCTATCTATCTATCTATTTATTTATTTATTTATAAAAGCCAAACCACTGACGGAGGTTGCCTACTTCAACCACAGCCAGTCTGTTGCTGTTTTGTAGTCACGTCTCATTATTGCTGATTTGTACAGGCACAGGCCTAGAATAAGAGAGAAGGCCTCTCCCAGCCCTATGAGACCATCACACATTCCAAGATACTTGAAGACAAGTTCAGAAAAGGTGGGAAGATTTCAAAGTAAGATTGTTTTGGCAGCAGAGATAAAGGGAGGGGCAGAAAAGTAAAAGCCTTATTTCTCTTTGTTTGCAACCACAGGCCATTTAAGAAAGCGCTGGCTGCTCTGACGGGCTCTGGTAGAGGAAGGCCAATGAGATTTCTATGCTCATTTGCCGAGCTGCATACCCAAACTGTCCAATGTATATGGTTAGTACAGGGATTGCATGGTAAAAAAAACAACAACCCACCTGCTTAGTGTATAAAGCTCTCAGAACAGAGCCTTGCTCACAGTAAACACTCATAAAAATCTCAACTATTATTTTTCTCTTCTTTATGCCCTACTCATCCAGGGCACCATGGTAAACTTCCTGCTTCCTGGTTCAGCCTCAGCTATACTGGAAAGCAACGTTGAACTTTTCACCTGCAGGCCTGGAGGCCTGGAGAGGGTGGCTGTGGCTCCCCTGAGACTGCTCACCTGGGAGGGCAGGGAGGGGTAGGGAGGGGGGTTGTTGGTGAGAATGGCTGTCTCAGGTGCCTCTACCAGCACTTCTTTGGATCACCCAACTCATTCTGAGCTCTTTTTTTGAATTTTAAATGTGTCCCACCAAAATTTTTGTTTTGTTTTGAGGTTTTATGATTTATTTATTGATAGTTAATCCTCACCCGCAGATATTTTTACACTGATTTTTTAGAGAGAGGGGGAGAGACAGAGAAACATCGGTGTGACAGACACATTGGTTGCCTTCCGCACTTGCCCTGATCGGGGCCGGGGATGAGCCTGCCACCATAGTACATGCCCTTGACTGGAATAGAACCCGGGACCCTTCAGTCTGTGGCCCGACGCTCTATCCACTGAACCAAACCGGCTAGGGCTGTCTCACCAAATGTAACACTTGTCATTCCTCCTCTGTCTTGCGTGGTTTTTGAGAAGGGGCCCTGCGTCAGGCATATCTGAAATCCTCCGTGATCTCATTTCAGGGCACTTGGCAGCAGTGGGCTTTGTGACCTTCGGCGGCTGGAGGAGGCCAGAGCCTCGGGTCACAGAGAGCATGGCCAGCGGAGCCCAGGGAAGGTGCACTGGGCCGAGGACTAAACACTAGCCCCAGGCAGAACACTCCCAGGGCACACCTCACCCCTGGGCTTGTTGGGGCAGGCCGCTGAATGGGCCCCGGAATAAGAGAAGTTACCCTGTCTCTGTAGTCCTCTGTGCTACAATGCCTGCCCCCCCCACACCTCCCCTTTCCTTTCTGAAAGGGACTGCCTTTTGTTCCCTCCTAACAGGAGAGGCATTCAGCCTCACCTGGGGAGGCGGGCGCTCAGCCCAAACCTGACATCACAGGGAAACATCACGAAGACAGAAAAAAACAGTGAGGATATTTGAGACGTTAAACTCGGGTCTCAGAAGGCCAGCCTCTTTTCAGAAGTTGGCAGACTTCTCATGCTAAGCAAGGAAGGGATTGTTTACAGTTGCTGGGGGGAAAAGTACAGGGCTCCACAAACAAACAGCCAGCCAGCTGCTTTGCTAGGAGCTACCGAGGGATTCCTGCCCTCTGACTCAGCCCAGAGCCATAGGCAGTCGCTGTATGGATCACCGGTTGTGATGATGACGGTGAGGGCCAGCTGGGGCTCAGAGGGAGTGGAGTGGGAGGAAGGAAAGGAGACTCCGGAAGGGCACTCTGTCTGGGTGTAAGTTTGTGCTAAGCTAGAACCACCTTCAGGTCTCCCATGTGATGGAGAGAGAGGCACTCCTGCTTCCTGGGAAAGGGAGTGATGCCACCTCGTCTGGAGCAGGGACAGAGGGAGCGTTTCTATGAACCAGAGGCCCTATTTTGAACCCTCTCCTGCTGAACCCAGTGGTCTGCTTCCCACCAATTATATTTGGGTGAGTCACTGAGACATGGCTCTCTAGAAAGAATCTGGACTGTTATGCAGAAATAAAGTACCAAATATTAGGTCATCATTCTGAGGCATGAGGAAGAAGGAAGGAATCTTCTCTGCAGGACAGAATAATTTAGGCATAATTGGTAACCGGAGTTCCCAAAAGACACAGTCTGGTGAGAACAGGTGATCTTTGTGTTTCTCTCTCTCTCTCTCTCTCTCTCTCTCTCTCTCTCTCTCTCTCTCTCTCTCTCTTAAAAATATATTTTTATTGACTTCAGAGAGGGAGAGGGAGAGAGACAGAAACATCAATGATGAGAGAGAATCATTGATCAGCTGCCTCCTGCGCGCCCCCTACTGGGGATGGAACTGGCAACTAGGGCATGTGCCCTTGACAGGAATCAAACCCGGGACCCTTCAGTCCACAGGTCGAGGGTCTATCCACTGAGCCAAACCAACTAGGGCCACAATGTTTTTCTGAAAGTAAATATCTGATTTTATATAAATAAAGTTTCTTTGCAATGCTCCCCAACCTGCCTAGGATCTGCCCACAGGCATCTTCAACATAGAGGTCAATGTGTCTTGTCTCTTCCGGACAGGCCTTCAATATCAAATACTGTTTGTTTTTTGTTTTCCCCCACTGGGAGACAAAGAGTGTGATGCTTTACAAATCACATGCAGATGGGCGGCTCTGGAGGTCAAGCTGTCAAAATCACCTGTTATTTTCTTGGTAGTTTTCTTAAAATGAAGTGTCAAGAGGCCAGCCAAACAACCACGGGTTTCTGTAAGTGGGAACCTGACCCTTACAAAACTGCCCATTGAGGTCAAGTCAAGGAGGGAGGGCAGGGGTTTTAACCAGAGAGGGGGGGGATAAGGCACCCAAGGGTGACCCGGCTGCAGAGACCTCCCCCCCTGCCCCCCCCCCCCCCCCCCCCCCCCCCCGCCCCGGGACCCACTTTCATTGCTCTCCTCGCCTGGGCCAAATGCCAGGGATCTGAGAGTCAACGGCTAAGAACCAGACCTCAGTCAGCGCTTCTGTGCCGTTAGCCACGCAGACCTCCTGGTTCAGCGGCCTCGCATTTCCCACCAGACAGGGCTGCGGCGGGACCTCGAGGCGCTCAGCTGAGCCAGGCGGGCTTTCTGCATTTGGCAAGCACCTCTGACACAGGGGTGCACACCCTGTGCAAAGAACAGCAACCCACAGCGCCACGGAGGAAACAGGTGCAAATGGCTGGTCGTCTCAGCAGCAGGAGACTTGTGGATTTCACCTTCCTCCCCGTCTCCTCCTGCTCCGCTCTGCAGCCCCCACTCCTGACCACCCGCCCGCCCTGCAAGCCCTGCAAGCCGGTGCCCGGGGCCATCTGGCCGCCCCTTCCTGGTTACTCATCCTCCCACCAGCCCGCTCTGGTCGCCTCTGCGTAGGAAGAGCCTGGCGGCGCTCGGGCCGGAACCCTCATCCAATGCCGTCACCTGATGCACCCACTGCGCTGGGGCTCCGGGAGCCCCGCCACCCCAGCCCCCCGGGGTGTCCCACTCGCCCGCGCCCCTACACTTGCAAACTGCGCCACTCCGCTGTCCTTAAGGCAGGGCACCCCTCCAGTTGTGTGCTTACATTTGAGTGTGTGTGGAGCGTATCTGCGTTCGCCCTCCCATGCACAGGGTCCCGTAAGAGGTGCCCGCTTGCAGACGCTGACCTTGAACCGCAAGGAACATCCCATCCCGGGATCCCGTGCTCTCACAGCCTCTGCACACACCAGACACCCCCCTCCCATCTCCCGGGCCGGGGTCTCCTCCTCCTCACCCTATTCCAAGCCTGCCTGACCCCCATGCACCCCTTCCCACTCCTCCGCCCGCGTGTCCCCCGAAACCAGCCGGGGGGCCGTGTCGCAGGGCTGGGAGGAGGCGGTGGTGGCACATCCGCTCACCTGCTGAGGTCGCTCACGAAGCCGCCGCTCTTCTCGTCCAGGAAGCGCTTCCAGCCGTCGGCCGTCTTCACCCAGCTCTGCCCGGGGGACCGCCAGTCCTGCCCGAGGAACGGCATGGCCCCGCGCGGCAGCCCGGGGGCCGCACCGGCCCGCGGCCTCGGGTTCGCGCCGCCCGGGCGGATCTGGGCGCTCGGGGTGCGGGGGATCCGCCGCGGGGACCGGGCTGCAGGGACCGGGGTCGCGGAAGGCGGGTGTCGGGGTGCGGAGCGGAGCGGGGTGCAGGCGCGGGCGGAGGGCGCGGGGCGCTGCAGCCGGGGAGGGTCGCGGGGCTGGCGGACTGCGGCGCGCGGTCCCGGCCGCGCTATTTATCCGGGCCGCCGGCTGGCTGCGGCTTTGTTGCCGGAAGAGCCGCCCGCTTAGCCCGGCCCCCGGCGCGGGGCCACGTGGCTGTGTTTATGGGCTCGGCTTGTTTTCCGCGGCGCCCGCGGCTCCGGCTCCGCGGCTGTTGCACAACCGCGCGCGGGTGGAAACTTGCAGCCGGGCTGCCAGGCCCCGGCGCCCGCGACCGCCCCTCCGCCCGGGGCCCGCACTCCCCCCCCCCCCCCCCCGCCTCTCCCCGGGCGCAGCCCCCGCCGCCCCGGGAGCAGCACCCCATCCTCCCGCCGCTCCCGGCCGGCGGGTGCAGCTTGGAGGAGGCCGGAGAGGCGGCTGGGTCGCTGCGGGGCGGGACGAGGAGGAGGCGCAGCTCCCTTCCACCCCGAGCTGTCAGGGCAGAGCCAGGCCGGGCGCAGCGCCGCCGGGGCGGGGGAGCCTGGGGGGAGCAGCCTCCTGACCCCTTGCAGCCCAGACCCCGCTCTTGGACCCAGGAGGGCCAGCCCCGCACCCCACCCTGCCCCAAGAACTGGTTAATGGGGTCCCAGGTCGTTCTCAGGCTTGTTTCCCGGGTGACAAGGGAACGAGGAGAGGAAAGGAGGCCGAGCGGCATCCGCTCCCTGCGGGCTGGGGGTGGAGAGGAGTGACAGTCCCGAGCCCACCATGAGCGCCCTGACCCCGCACAGCCGCCAGGGAGCAGGTTAGGGGAGTCCTGGCCCCGCGCGCGGTTCCAGCCTCCTGCAGGGCGCCGGGGCTGGGCTTTGGTCTTGAAGAACCGCGGTATACCCTCCTCCCCTTCCCACTGTCCCGATCCGTTGGGCTATTACGTTCTCTCTGGGAAATATCGGGTCTAGTAATAATTAATGTCGTTTTTAAACATTCGTTTAAAATCTTGCTTGGCGTTGACTTGTATTGACAGAACCTTCAAACACGTGGTATCTACAGAACGTGTGAAGTGCAATTAACAAGTTTTGCTTGAAAAAGTTTGTGTTTGGTTTGGTTTTTGTTGCAAAACTAGGGCTAAGAAGATGGCGGATGAAGAGCATATTCGGCACTGCATGCTTTACGAGTTCCAATTAGGAAGAAAAGCAAGTGAGGCTGCAAAAAACATCTGTAGTGCTCTTGGTCAAGATGCAGTTAGCGCCAGAAAATGCCAGCGTTGGTTTGAGAAATTTCGCGAGGGAAATTTTTCGTTAGATGACAAGAGTGGTCGAGGCCGTATGTCCAATTTTGATTAAGAAGCTCTTCAAGCTCTTTTGGTGCAAAATCCTCAAATTACCCAACAAGAGCTTGCGACAACTTTAAATTGTTCACAAAAAACAATTTCCAATCAATTGCGTGCACTTGGCAAAGTCCAAAAGTTTGGAAAATGGGTTCCTCATGAGTTGACCGACAACAACCGTAATCAAAGAGTCACAATTTGCAGTTCGCTCCTCTCTCGTCAAAACCGTTTGCCGTTTTTAGAGCAAATTGTTACCGGAGATGAAGAATGGGTGCTGTATGTTAATTTGAAAAGGCGGCCTCAATGGTTGGACAAAAATGAGGCTCCGTAGCCCACGCCAAAACCTGACTTGCATGCGAAAAAAGTGATGTTGTGTGTTTGGTGGAATTTTAAAGGAATTCTTCATTATGAACTTTTACCATCTAACCAAACCATTACAAGTGCAGTGTATAGTGCCCAATTGGAAAGGTTAGCCCAAGCTTTAAGAGAAAAAGAATCCGCGCTGATTAATCGGAAGGGCGTAATTCTTCACCACGATAACGCACGACCGCATACTGCAAGAATCACTGCTGAAAAACTGCGCCAGTTGGAATGGGAAGTTCTCCCTCAACCTGCATATTCTCCTGATATTGCCCCTTCCGATTACCATTTGTTTCGTTCTTTGCAAAACTTTCTTCTTGAAAAAAATTTAATAATGAAGAATGCCTCAAAAATGCATTGACCGAATTTTTTGCATCAAAATCACAAGAATTTTACAACAGAGGGATTAAAATGCTTCCTGAGCGTTGGGCACAAGTAGTAGAAAACAACGGCAACTATATTGTTGCTTAAATTTTGTTGTTTAAATAAATTCGATTTTAAAAAAAGTATTAGAAAACGACATCAATTATTACTAGACCTAATAACATGGCAAGAGTTTTCGTCTTGGTGAGGGTTAAGGGAGAGGGCTCAGAAACGAACTGTGAATGCAGAGTGAGGCCCCCAGAGAAGGTTAAGCCAATGGCTTACCCAGGTCACAAGGCCATTTGTTCACAGCCCTTAGTAGGATCTGAAATTAAACTGTTTGCTTTCACTTTCAGGGGTGGGTGGGTAACCATCTGTCCCTCTCTGCGGAATGTCAACTCCACGAGAGCTAGTCCGTCCTGTTCAGGATGCATCCCAGCACCTCACCAGGCTCAGAGCGTGAACAGGGGGATGGATGTGAGAGGCTGCTGGCGTCAGAGCAGCCTCCTGTCCTTCATGGCTTGTAGTTGCGGTGCTTCACAGTCTGAGCCGTTTGGTGATTAGATCGCACAGAGCAGTCACAACAGAGTGGAAACCCCCTCTGCTAGCTTCCCACTTGATTCATCCAGATCCCTTCCTCTGCAGCCATCCACACCTTCCACTCCACCAACTCTGTGCACCTTGCAAAGATCGTTTTGTGTAACACTCCTCACAAAATCCTGGGAGCTGCGTATTGTCGTCTCCACTTTACAGATGAGAAAACTGAGACTCAGGAAAGTTAACTAGCCTGTTTAAGAACCCCCACCCCCCAGCTAGCTGAAACAGGTTTGGCTCAGTGGATAGAGCGTTGGTCTGCGGACTGAAAGGTCCCAGGTATGATTCTGGTTAAGGACATGTACCTTGGTTGTGGGCACATCCCCAGTAGGGGGTGTGCAGGAGGCAGCTAGTCTATGTTTTAGCTCTTTATTCCTCTCTGTAAAAAATAAATAAAAAAAACACACACATAGTCCCCCACTTAAATAGCTGTGTGGCCGAAACCGGTTTGGCTCAGTGGTAGAGCATCGGTCTGTGAACTGAAGGGTCCCGAGTTTGATTCCGGTCAAGGGCATGTACCTTGGTTGCGGGCACATCCCCGGTAGGGGGTGTGCAAGAGGCAGCTGATCGATGTTTCTCTCTCATCGACGTTTCTAGCTTTCTATCTCTCTCCCTTCTTCTCTGTAAAATATCAATAAAATATCAATATATTAAAAAAAAATAGCTGCGTGACCTTGGGCAAGTTACTTAACCTCTCTGTACCACATTTCTCTCATTTGTAAAATGGGAATAGTGATAGTAGCTACCTTAAAGGGTGTTGTGAAGATTTATTGAGATAATATGTATAGAGCACCCATGATGGTGTTGACACCAATGGTAGTCATAATTATTATTTTTATGCAAAGTTGTCACCTCCATCTCTGACGTCCCTTAAGGCCCTATCTATCTTCCCCACCGTATTTTAACTTTTGGGGTCATGGAGCATAGCTCACCCAGCTAATTTCCAGCTATAGGAAAATGTGTTGATTGGAGCAAACTGTACAACTAAATGATAGTTTTCATTTCATTAGTTATTGTTTATTACACTTGGACTATGGAAACGGGTCTTATTTGGTTCAGAACTCTAGGTTATTCCAAGGTAGACCTGGTACAATTTTAGCTTACTCACTGCCTCACGAAGGCAGATTAGAGAAATTGTGAAAAGGACTGAAAAACTTGGATACATAGGAAATGCTCTGTTGTTCCTAACCAAAATGGCATTCGTTTACAGCTTTGACCCAGGAACTGGCCACTTGTCACTGAAATCTAATGATGTTTGTTTTTTCTGAGTTTCTCTGTCTGAAAGGGTGTGTGTGTGTGTGTGTGTGTGTGTGTGTGTGTGTGTATGTGTGTGTGATTGAAAAATACTTATCAACAGTAGCTGTTAGTTAAAAATAACTTTAGCTGTTGGGTGGGGCAGGGTCTGGAAACAGCCAAATTGTTGGCTCGCCCTGTCCAAGTGAGAGCCACATTTTTGAAGGAAGAGCTGGAGGAACTCAGCATATTAAATCCGACTTGTCAGTATTGTCACGAGGAATGCATGTTCAACGCCACAGCCATTAGCATGTGACCTCCCACCCAGTCTGTCTAGGGTGGAGCATCCTCGAAACAGTGTGAAGTGCGTCTGAGAGGTGTGTTTGAGCAGGAACTGCCGGCTGCGTGTTATTTTTGCGTCTCTGGCTGCCATGAATCTGTCAGACACATGTCACCTAAAAAATTCGTATTACTTTAATGAGAATCATTTGGTATTCCTCAAATGTGGCCCTGGTTCTGTTTTTGAGAGAGGGTTAAGGACATTTTGTTATAATCCTCCTGCTTTCATAGCCCAGTTGTTCAATTTGAATGAAAGTTCTCATTTTCATTTGCAGCCAAGACTGCTAGCTTTTGTATACTACAGGGAAGTGATTGAAACCACAGCATTTACACCAGCAACCCGGACTTTCAGTGTCTTTTTAAAAAGCACAGTTTTAAAAATGAGGATGTTAAATTTGTCATGATGAGCTTGTTACATTTATTATGGATGTAAAGCTTTAAATACTGTGTTAGTGCCTGAAATTGAGTAAAACAAACCTATCTACAACCCTTCAAATGGTGTCTTGAACGGTTTAGTAGCACATTTTAGTGTTGAGATTTCTCCTATGCAACAAAAGCTTGGGCTAAACCTCACCCAGACATTGTACCTGGTAGTTTATTTACTTCCATCACTAATGTTCACAGAACTTTGCAACGTAGGTATTTTTATCCCCATTTTACAGATGCGGAGACTGAAGCTCAGCTATGTGTAACCACTTACTCAAAAGTCTGCTTGAAATCAAACCAAACTTTTAGAAGTTACCTACTCCAATTCCCTCCCTTTTCCCAAGAGGAGGCTAAGGCCCAAAGAAGAGAAACTCAGTCAAACACAGAGCCAGTTAGTGGCAGTCCTGGTGAGTGGGCACCATGAGATCGAACCCAAAGGTTAGAGTATTCCGTGAATCTTGCTTGCCGATGCCCCGAGAAATGTAACTTTCAGAGTAAAATTCAAATCCTATGATGTACACATTTCAGGGATTGGATAGTATTAGGACTTCTCATCAACGGGTT